TTCTCTCTCTCTCTCTCTCTCTCTCTCTCTCTCTCTCTCTCTCTCTCTCTCTCTCTCTCTCTCTCTCTCTCATTATTCTCCTGACCTCATTGAGCATCCTTATATATCCTTATAAGAGTTATTTTGGGGGCCTGCCAGCTAGCTCAATTGTTTAAGCATCTGCTTATGCAAATGCAGTCAGGCACAGGATACTGCAGTTAGATCCCCAGCTCCACATGCCTCACCAGACCCTCCCTTAAAGCAACCTGAGCCATACAAAACTAAACCAAACCAAGACAAAAAACCTTCTGAACTTTGGGCTGGAGAGATAACTCAGTAGAATAAGTGCTTGCCTGGGAAGCACAGGGTCCTGAGTTCAATCCCCACTACCCCCCCAAAAAAGTTATTTTGAATTCTCTGTCAGGTAATTCACATGCCAGTTTTCCACAAGGGTCCATTTCTGGATGTCTCTTATTCCTTTGCTTGGACTCTTGTCCCTGCTTCATCTTTCTTTGCTTTTTGTGCTGGTCAATACACAGTAGAAAAAAGCCAGCTGCCTGTCTTCTTCATGTACTCTGCTACGTATGCTTCATGTCTTGTCATACAGAAAAAGCCTCAGTCTGGTCAGAGATGTTTCAGAGCCTCTTAAGTTTTCACATTGTCCCTGCTGCCACCTCTGTTCTTCATGGCCCTTGGGTATGTGGAGTACAGTGGGCCCTGTCAGTGTTCTGAGTCAGGTATGCACAAGCCAGTCTCTTGGACAGACCTCTGAAGAGTTAGAATTGTGGGTACACAGTCCATCTGTTTCACTCCTGGGCAGCTGGGATTTGAAGTTTATTTGCATAATCCTGGGGAGGAGCTATGGCAAGTGCTACTCTAATCCACCATCTTTCTCATGCCATGCTCTTCTATTCCTGCCACCCTTTTCCCACCTTTCCTCCTTATCACTGAAACATACATGACAAACACATACCAAAAAAGGAAGGGGAAAGTGTTACTGCGAGCAACCATGGTGGGTGAAGAGGATATAAAAGATGATTTGGAGAGGAGAGCTAGTTCAATCCACTGTGAAACCCAGAGGGGCTCTTTCTCAGTCAAGAGTGCCTAGTCCTCAGGGAGACTATAAAAGAAGAAAAGGTGATGCTGAGAACTCTCTGGCTTTTGTTCAGAATATCAGTGTATGAGAAAAAAGGAGAAAAAGGCATTGTCTCTCACTGTCTCAAGGCTAAGTAGTTTTTCTTGGGAGAGGAGAAGGACAACAGCAGATATGACATGCTTTACTTATCTAAACTTCTTATTTAAACATCCAAGTCTCACACAGCCGTGTGCCGTGGCCCCCTCGTTTTAGTGATTCACTCCTCACAGAGCCTGTGTGTGTTTGTCCTGCTTTTGTGTAACCATTCAGTTCACTCCTGGCCAGGTGCCCCACAGGAGGGAAGCTGAGAGAAATTATGTAGGAATCATCCACAGGAAAATTCAGTCTCAGATGGAAAGTGAACAATTGACTAAATCAGAAAAGCAGATAAATTTGTCTTTGACCATGGAAGAAAAGACGATTAAACACATTTTCAAATATGATTTATTTACTATAACTTTTCTAGCTTGCTTTATTTATTTATTTATTTTCATGGTACAATCATGTACCAGGGATTGAATGTGGGACCTTGCGTTGCCAGATAGGCACTTATGCTGCTGAGATAATCCCTGGCCCCTTTACTACACTTTTTAACCAAAATGTTTGATAATGATTTTAAGTTCAACATTTAGAATTGAAAGAGTTTTGGGGAACTCCTTATATATAACTTTTTTCTTTTCCATTAAGCTCTCATTGTCTCTTCAAATCCCATTATCTTAGATCTCAGTGCTGACTAACTCTATTCAATTGATGTCAAGAACTGTCTAAAAGTGATAATCAGGTTTGCTGTTTTAATACAGTTAAGCCTTTAAGGAACATTAAGGTCAGCTTAATTTGCAAAATGTGGAGGCATCTTAGCAAAGCACTATCCAAAAGGGCAGTCAACTCCTACGATAATCACCATGCTGGGTTGATATATTGACACTCTGGGTAAATCTTAACATATTGCAGATAACAGATATCTCTAATTTTCCCAACAATCCTCAAATTAAGAAAAACGTGGGAGAGTAAAGTGACCACAAACATCCTGTTGTTATCTGATGTTTCTACAACACAGACAGAGAAGTAGACCTTATTTTAGCAGCACCCCTTTCTATGCCTTCGTAACTGTGATGGTGGTGACTCTTCTGGCTCTGATTAAGCCTGGTATGATTTTAGTAAGCATGCATAGATTGTGTATAAATTAAGGAACATATTTTTTATAATCTATATTGCCAATGGCTAAGTGGAGTTTGGAAACAGGATCATCAATATGAGATTGAAAAAGGACCCAAGTTTAATTAGAAGCACTTGAATGATAAGTGACAGAGAATGCAAGATGACAGCTATGAAGGTTAACACAAATTTTTATGTCTTATGATTAAAGGTCTAGACTACATAATGCTAACATAAAAGAAATAAGACTGTAAAATTTAAATCTTATTACAAAATAAAGGTTGCTATAATAACAAAAAAGGAGATGAGAATCTTCTTGCTAGTATCAGAAGCATGTTGGTCTAGTAATGCATATAAAGGTATCTCCCTGATTCTATTGAGGTTGCAGATGGAAACAGGTGAATTTTTGAGAGATGTTACGGTTTGTGTCTCGTTGTCCCCTCAAAGCCTCATGCGGTCATGGGGTGGACTTCTAGAGTTTGTGATTAACTCATGATTCATGGATTATGGGTATGAGTGCTGCTGGGATCATGGGTGTGAGTATTATTCCCAGCCTGGGGCAGAGAGCCTGAATGCAATTTAAGGAGACAGACTTGCTCTCTGTCACTGTTGCTGCTACTCCTTCTATTCGCCCTTGCTCTTTGCCACCACCATTGTGAAAGGTTGCTCTCTGTCATATGCTTTGTAGCCACCTGACTATGGACTCAAACATCCACTGACCATGAGCTAAATAAACCTCTCCTTCCTTCATTTTGGGTGTTGGGTATTTGTCCCAGCAACGAGAGAAGGGTAATTGAGATAAGAGATATTTTAAAAATTGTACCGGACTGAGTAATACTGCTTATTTATTTATACATTAATGTATATTATTCATTGTACATTTGTAAATTCACATCATCTGAATTTAGACATATGCTTTCCTCTGTTATGATTTTCCTCTTAATGGTATAGTGATGCATGTGTAGATATATTTAGATATATTCATATACACACAACTTGATGAGTCACTTAAAATATGCATGAATCTTCTATCCTTAGGTATTAAACTGGATATATATTATAATATTGTCTCTCAAATAGGAGTAATAGATTCAATTTACTAGGAACCCGAAGTGTAAATTATTATGACTACACTTATAAGAGTTGGCCCCACAGTTTGAAAAGTCAGAAGCTTCCATCAAGTCATTTGCAAGAGCTGACAGAAAAATAAAGTCAAGAGAAAGACAGCAAAGACTAAAAACTTTCCCAAATTACCCACTTTTCATGTGAAATTTTCCTTAAAAAGTCAAGTGGATATTGACTTAGCTTTGAGTACTCATTGCAGTCCCCAGGATGTTTATGTGGAAATACAGTGGGTCAAATCTTACGTTGGCTTACGAATCAGGAACAAGGAGTTCTCATCCTCTTTGTCTCTGCCATCTGAACATGCTTCTGGAATCTCTGAAAACTTGCTTCTTCTAATGCTTCTTTCAATTTCATTTATTGTAGTGGATTTTAGAATCATCAAATAAATTATTTTATTGATTTATCTCTATTAATTTCTATAACTGACATTATGGTGTGCCTAGTTTATAGTTCTCCAGCTCATCAACTCATACACTGAGGTCTTAACTCCAGCACCTGTGTATGTAGCTGTATTTGGAGGTAATATCTTTAAAGAGCTAACTTAATTAAACTGAGTTCATTAGGATGGACACTGCTTCAATATAGCTGGACAGAAGACATGTGAACAAAAATGTACCCAGAAGGAAGACCTTATCAACACGCAGGAAGAATGGAGCCATCAACAGGCCTCCAGGCCCGCTCTCCTCCTTAACTCTGCCCTTCCTCCTATTTCTCTTCCTCCTCTTTCTTCTCCTAGTCCCTTTTGGTGGGAATGGGGGGTTTAGGTCCCTTATTTTTTGGTGCTTTGTATGGCAGCCCTTGGAAACTAAATGTACCAACTCAAATACATTCAGCTCTCCTCTCAGAATGCACAAGAGGATGCTATTCTTCAATCTATCACAGATTCCTAGATAAATCACAAGTTTCCAACATAAAAAAATCTTAAATTTTCTCAAAAAGGATAGAGACATATTCTAGCTAGAAATAAGACACAGTCCACAACACAAAAAATGACTATAGTAAAGGATTTTTCAAAAGCTCTTAAGAATTCAGCAGTGAATTCTGAATATGATAAATTCAACAATAAGCTTCTAAATATGATGATGCTACATATAATATAGAACGTACATCAATTCTTCATAAAAAGAGCAGCATTATTATCCTTACTTTTAAATGGTGGCATTGGACTGCCCAATTATATATGGTTTAAGGTTACTGGAAATAATAATTGCAATAAGTAGGGGATTCAAAGGAAAGAACATTTTGTATTTGTATATACAAAACACTTAGGATAGATATACAGCTACTTTTGTTTAATTCAGTGAGAAGAAAGAGGTGTACTAATAGTGCTTCAACAGGATATTCTGTCTGCTTCTTGTACTATGGATAACCACTAAGAAGATAACAATATACTAAGAAGATATATACTAACTATATACTAAGAAGATATCAATATAGTATTGATTATTGAAACTGTCCTATTAATCAGCTTTGAAACCGTCTCATTCATATCTGTTTCTCAATAAAATAAAAAAGGTCTTAGTAAAATAAAAAAAATTGCAATAAGTATATAATGATCAATGGGTGTCATGCACTAAAGACTTGCATGGTTTATCATTGTTAACATTCACAGTAATTCTATATTTAAGCCACATTGGAAATCAGCATCAGAGATGTTATCCCAAGGCTTCAGAACTCTGTTCTACTCTCAATGGCAGCCATTCAGCTAAAATTGGAAAATGAGGCTTTTAAAAGGCAGTTCAAATTCCTAGCCAGAGGTGCCTGACCTGACTGAAAACTTTACCTGGTGGCATCTCTAGACTGAATGCATCCACGAGTTTTGACAGCAGTTCTTGCAGCTCTTCCTCCAGCTCATCCTTTCTCCCTGCAATGCTAACTGTGGTTTTCCTTCCCGTGGATGCCAGAGTAGTGCTGGTCATTTCAGTGGGAGAAATTTGGAGTTTTTCTTGCAGCAGTCCTTGCTGAGAACAGGGCTCAGAGCTGAGGATTTGCTTGGATGTCTTTCGTGTGTAGCTTTGTGCACTGTTGGTTTGTGCCACTGGGGCTGGTGACTCTGAATCTGGTTGACCATGGTTGGTATTTGCTTGGCTTTGGTCAACCAGGATAGGGTCAGGAAGAGGTTTCCATCCTGGACCATCCTCAGTGACATTCTTGATACGACAAGAGTCTCTTCCCTTCTGGGACCTATCAGCTGAAGAACGATCAACCTTGGACACCATATGTTGGTGGGAAGATGAAGGATGGCGTGGCTGCAACATTGCCTGAGTAAGAAAACCTTATTAATGAAAAAATACATGTTTACTTTTTTCACAAATGCATTACATTTTTAATATTCGAACAGAAGATACTAATGTGACATATATCCTTTTCCTCTAAATATATTATTTATATGTTTTTATGCTGTTAATTCAATACAGATCTAAAATTCTCTAAAACATTGGATCACCCCAGGTTGTAAAATAATTACAGGATATAATAGCAATAAACTTAGGGAAAAAATCTAAGTTCCAAAAAGCTTAGGTTCTAAAAATGTTCTGAAAAAATGTAGAATTTCTGAAAACACAAGCATACATTGGATCATAGATAAAAATGATCACAATAAAATGTTTATAATAATTGGACTAATAGGTCTGTTATAAGAGGTTTTACAATAACCCAGAAGTAAAAAATATTAGGGTGTGGTCCATGTTAAGCACAGTTCTCAAAGTTTGATCCCCAGCCCTGAGAATTCCAGAGACCCCTTTAGGATCTGGTGAAATGCAATTATTTACATAATGGCTCTTTGATATATTTGCCTATTCATTGCACTGACCCTTGCAAAGCTGGTATAAAATCAACAATAAGTGTGGCCGTAGGCTCCTTAGCCAGGATCAAGGCAGCATCAGCACTCCTCATACGCTACCAAGTTAGAAAAGGAGACAGTGCCACTTAGAGAGATCTTTGATGGTATAGCAAAAGTCCTTAATTTTCTTAAGCATAAGCCATGCCCTTTAAATACCGCGTGTGAGGGAAAGGGATGCATGCATGAAATGCTTCAAGTGCATACTGCAGTGCAAGTGTGCCTCCCATGCTGAAAGAGGACCGACAGATCACAGCTATTCAAACTTGGGACTAGGCAGATACTTTCTCAAAACTGAACAAATCAAGAATATATATATATATATATATATATATATGAATGTTACTGCATTTGTTGTCAATGATAACACTTAAACTTTCAAGAAAAAATTAGAATTTTGGAAAACTTGAGTCTACCACCAGGGTCTTAAAAACTTTCCAATTCCTGAACACTTTTCTGATGGAATTTACTGGTGCCATTAATGAGTATGAATTTCTTTGGCTTCCAAGCGATGAAATGGGAGCCCTAGGTAGTATAGCACAGCTCAATGATTCACTATTTTCCAAATGACTGATGTATATTGTTTAATAAAAATCATGCCTAAGTAGATCTATTTAAAGAGCACACTAAGGGCTGGTGTTATAGCTCAGTGGACTAAGCACTTGCTTAGGTAAGAACAGGGGCCAGGGTTCAATCCCTGGCACTGAATGTCACCCAAAGGTGGGGCACACTGAGCCGGTGATGGAGTCCAGGCATGGTGGCACACACCTGTAATTCCAGCACTAAGGAGGCAGAAATCAGGAAGATCATTATGAGTCCAAGCTGTGTAGTGAGACCCTGCATATACACACAAAATAAAACCTTAAAAAATAATAAAATTATAAATAGTACACTAGAGGGCTGGTGAGATAGCTCAGCAGTCTAAAGCACCTGTTTAGACAAGCTTAGGGAAGTGCAGGGACCACCATTCAATCCCTGGTACCACATACTACTCCAGCTCCCCCCCAAGGTGAGCTGAGCCAGTCACAAAACAAAAAACAAACAAACAAACAAACAAAAAAAAAACCAGACAAGAGCATACTAGAAAACTGTGCTTTAATGAAGCAATGAAATAGATAAGCCTTCCTATTTTGTATCACAACTACCTTTTAAGGAATTATTTTTATTGTGTCTCAATGTAGTATCAAAGAAAAAGTATCCCCAGTCACATGAGAAGCTATGAAAATACACTTACTTTTTTTAACTGCAAATCAATGTGGGGCCCTATTTCTTAACCTTCAACCAAAAGGTCTTGCAACGATTGATTACCAAAGCAATCTGTAAATTTAGTGATCTTTTATTAAAGCTACATATTAAAGAGATTTATCAAAAAGCATAAAAAATGTTTCTTAGAGTTTTAAAATATAGTTGTTGTTTTAAACTATTACATATATGATGAGTTTATTTTTCTTTTTCAGTTAGTTAATGAATATATTTTAAACACTTTGCAGTTTTATATTTTGAGTATGGTAAACAAAAACAGATATAACCCACAGAAACAAAAGCTCATTAGGTGTTCCCCATTTTTTTAAGATTGTACAAAGGATCCTGAGACTAAGAGGTTTAAAAACAGAATCATTTTGCCCTCCATCTCTTGCTTCTAAATGGTATCAACTTTGTTGTCTTTCAGTAGTGCTGATTTCAGGAAGGGTAAAGCACATAGGGTGGGTGTAAGGTGGAGGAGAAGAAGGGACATGGGGAGAGGCGAGTTAGATGGGGCCTGAGGCTTTGGGCTGCATCCTGCTGTGGCTGGAGGCCTTGAGCTTAGGCTTTCAAGCTGTTCACAGACCCAGGGTCTCCCACATTTTGTACCTGTACATCCTGTCGCATCTGCTGTATCTTGGCCCATAGACTATCCTGGTTGCTTGTGAGTTCCTGAATCTTTGCTTCAAACCTGCAACTTTTTTCTTCCTGGATGGTGTATATTGCTTGCAACTTGTCTTTGTACTGATTTAACTGCGTTTTAAGGAGCCTGAAAAGAGAAGATGTTTGAGTGGTATGGAAGGGCAAGAGGCCAGCACTCTGCCTGGAACTCTAGCAACATGACCACAGGTCCTTGTCTACTGTCTAACAGTTCTGTTCTAATGCCTTTGTCACAGGTCCAGTTGTCCTTGGATCTACTGTGTATGCAGCTCTTATTGGTACATTTTGGGTTACTCTTGACATTGTATTTTCACCAGCTACACAAATTTTAATATAGACTCTATCTGTCATTCTTTCGTGTAGAAACACTGCATGGAGAAGGATGCTTTGGCCTGTATGACTAAGCACCAAACACTTGGACCAGAACACAGGGAAGGAGCAAGGATACAATTCATGAGTGGTGGGTCTGTTTTGGTTTCTCTTCCTGTCGATGAGTTCTCTGGATAAAGAATGAACCAAGCAATCATGTCTCTTCTCTGCTTAAAACCCTCAGTGGTCCCTTCTCTTTTAGAGCAAACTTCAGCCCTTCCAGAGGCAGGCAAGCTCAACAAGGTAGCCACGCTCTATTCCCTATGTAATTCCAACTGCTTTTTCTTGCTTGCTCACTGCCCTTCAGCCAAGAGGGCACTTGGATTCTTCTCCTGGTTCTCCCTTGACTCACTCCCTCATGTCTTCAAGTCCTTGCAAATGCATTACCTTTCAGTGAGGTCTTTCTGACCCCCTACAAAAGATCACAAACAAGGGCCTCAGCCTCACTCTGAAATGCCTGACCCTTCCTTTCCTGCTTTGTGTCTATGGTTCATCATATTTAATTGTTAGGAGCTTAAGGGGATCTTAGATTTTGTCCTGGGCTCCAGCCTTTAATCTTCTGGACAGTCATACTGTATAACATACTGCATGTTTTGCTCATTATTTTTCTTATGTTACTCAATTTACTTTTTGCTTACTGTCTCTTAATTCTAGAAAAATTTTCCTTTTTTGTTTATTATAGCATCCTCAGGTCTTGGCCTAAAGTAGTCCCTGTCACACAGTAGGTAAACAGTTTAAATTGTCTGAATATAGTCTTTATTCTTTAATTTATGCTGATGGCATTTTTTTGGGTAAAATTCGTGCACACCAGTTTTCCAGCATGAAATGCAATATTTCTCAATATTAGCACCTTTCAATTTCCCAATTGCTATCATCTTGGAGAGGTCTTGAAATGTAGTTGGGGCTCCCAGCCCAACCTGGGTCTCTGAAAGATAATTCTCAAACTTCCAGTCACTCATGTGAAGCAGGAATCTGATTCTCATAAATTAAATTGCAGTGTTGAATGTGTACATATGATGGGTTTGTAGAAAGGAGTCAGCACAAGGGTTTTATACAACTGACAATAAAGAAAAGTTCATGTGAGCCCTTACAGACAGTGCTCTCTGTCCCTAAAGCATTGCGCTTGCTCTGACTCCACTACAAGACAGTCTCTCTCTCTCTGTCTTCCATGTTGTCTACCACCCACATCCTCTTTGGCTAATCCACCATGCTTGAATAGCTAAGAAGACATGTGCCCCAACCTCCTTCATTCCAGTATATTGTAGGTAGATCCCCCATAAGAAATACGATTCTTTCTCACTCTGATTTTAAAAACTTTATGGTCATTTTAGCCAATTTAAACAAACACTGTTGGGGGTCTTCCAAGGAAGACTTTGTCAATGACCAAGATATTCAAATTCAACTCTATGAAGTAAGCCCTTTTCCAGTTACCTATAGTACATTCAACCAACTATAGCATTAACTAAGTATAACATTAACCAATAACCAAATATAACAGACACAAGGAAAATAAGAAACAAAAGAGGAAAACAACATACAACAATAAACCCTAGCAGATGTTTTCTCCAAGTCCTTATAATTGTATAGTTTAGTCCACTTTTGGGCTGTGCTACACTGAAGACCTCAGGAGAGAGGCTAAACTGAAAGTTCAAAATATAGAAGTCTTTGTTTGAAAACTTTTAGACAGGTCTTTGTGCTGATAACGTCTCACAATTGAATAGTAAAGTTTAGCATTAGTATTATGCATATAAGCCCATGAAATAAACCATGGGGCCCAACTTCTAACAGTCTTAAGACCTGTATGACTAAGTTTCGGCATCAGTACCTGGGCCAACAGTATTGTTTCAGGTCAATACCATGTGTCTTAATCCTTTCTTTCTTTAAAATAGGCTGTTTTTTGTTTTTTAAAGGAGAGATTCTCATGGAGTGTTTCTAGTAAACACAATTCATTTGATACAAATATTTCCAGCAGCTGAGAGTCCATTACTTTCCAGGTAAATACCTACTATTAATAACAGCTGATATTATCTGAGAAATAACTCCACCTAGATGACCTGAAATCTGCTTTCCAAACTTTTAGATCTTTGTATGTGTTTCAGCTTTCTGGAGCAAAGCAACCTGAATCACACTAGCCTTTTAATAGGATCCCAGACATTCCCAGGCAAGCTGGTTGGGCCCAGAGCAGTGAATGGGATTTCCTTTCGTGAGTCCGGAGCACACTACAGAATCATAAACAAGCAACCAGCAATTGAATGATATGCTTTCTGTCAATATTGTCTAAGACTGTGTATGTGTTTGTAAAAATAACCAGTGACACAATGCTGGCTGTTACTGAACTTGACAGTTAGCTATATATCTTAGGTCTTTTTCACACTACTCATGAACCTGGATCTACAGCTGTAGGACTTCTTTCTAACATCTTAAAATTTGGTCGTTATTAATTGCTCCACTGTATGACATCTTACCTATCCCAAATTGTTATTCAGTTTATTATTTAAACCTTGTGTATCATGTCACACACAAATTTGAAAGGCTGTGCTGTCTTGATTGGTAAAAATGATGGTACAGCCATGCATAAGGATGGCCCCTTCACTTTGTGTTTCATTTATTAATGAGCCCCACAATTACACTTTCTTAGGATACCAATGGTGTATGTGACTAATATGGATTATAGAAAAAGGAATACTTTAATTTGAAGGAATCAGTATCAAACAGTTATTTAAAAAGTTAAGCTTTAAAACAACACATTTCAAAAATTCCTTTCTGTTTCTACACTTTAAGTTTCAGAATGGATTTTTAATGTCACTTGTTTTCTTTTTAAAGAGTAGGAAGAATTTATTGAGAGAAAGAAAGGGGAAGGGGGCCTGGAAAGCGGGTTGCTCCAATACCATTTTCTTTAATTTTGTTTTTAATTTCTTTATGTTACTCCAGGAAAATGATCAGAATTAGTTTCTTCTTGTTATTTTATCTTTCTTTTTTTGGTGGAACCGGGAATTGAACTCAAGCCCTTGCACTTGCTAGGGAAACGCTTATTCCACTGAGCCATCTCCCCAGTCCTTATCTTTCTTCTTTAAAAAAATGTATTTGGTACAGGGTCTCACTATTTTTTAGCAATTCTCCTGTTCTCAGCCTCCCCAGTGCTAGGATTACAGGCCTGTGCCACTATACCCAGTCTCTCAGTCTCTCAGTCTTTGTGGCCAGCTCAGTGTGCCTGGGGGCAGACCTAGCACAACCTGTGGTGCCAGGGATTGAATCCAGTTCCTGTGCTTGCCTAAGTAGGCACTTAGTCTGTTGAGCTATCTCGCTGGCCCCAGAATTCTTTTTAAAATGTAAATTATTTGGAAATTTAAATAAAATATTTCCTTTCATTCATTTAGATTATAAAATACATCCCTCACAATGTACACATATTGAATCATTAAGTTATACAGCCTCTACTGAAGGATTGTGCCTGAAAACACAGATCTCCTCAGAGGAGAAACTGTTGAGTGAGAGCAAGAAATTCTCTATTCTAAAGGAATGACAAGAGGAGACACAGGCCTAAGGAAGGGTTTGCTTCCTGAGTCACAAAAAGAAGATGGAAGAGATTCCAATCAACCAAATAAACCTAGTAGGAAGGCAGTTGCTCTTAAAGAAAGTATACTGACTTTTTGGTAGAAATAGACACAAAATAAACAAGCCGTTTATATGCTTAAATCAATATATAGAAGAATCAAAACTCCATAGAAAATGCTTATCCAGTTTTCAAGGAATAAGTTCAGGTAATCAAAAGTAAATCTTACTATAACAAGTGACATGGTTTTTATTTATGCCCACCTGTTCAAGTAGAGTCAAATTTCTCTTTTACCTTAACAGTGGGAGCATAGGATTTCTCTGCTTGAAGAATTTCTTCCAAATTAAAAAAAAAAAAAGGAAAATCTTTGTAGAAAATTTTTCTATAAAACCTAAGGGGAGCGCTCCTGATTTGTTTCTGCTGACAGCATTTGTGTCCGCATCCACTCATGAGTCTTACCTTCTTTCTTTCTGGAGAGCATTGATGGATTCACGAGTCTTCCCCAGTTCATTTTTAATGCTGACCATGGTCTAGACAGCAAGAAATAGGGAAAATAAGGTTTTGGTTTGAACTTAACTCACATTCCTAGAAATCCACCATCAGAACATGATAATGATTTTTTTTTTAAATAGTGTATCTCTGTTGGGCTGGCCCCGCCCCTGACACGTGCTGAGACAGCGACTGAGACTGGCCATGGTGCGCCTGTAGTAATCCCAGTGCTTGGGAGGCTGAAAACAGGAGGATCACTACAAGTCCGATCTATGTAGTGAGACCCTGTAGACCCTGTACTAAATACATAAATACAATAAAACATTATATCTCAGAAAGCAGGTGATGTCTTTTGGCTTAAGTCCACAATGATGCAGGTGTGTACACAATTTATTTACACAAAACAAGTGCAAACACAAAAAACCAGTTTCATGTTAAAAAAATAAGTAAAAACAATCTTTTGCCCAAGTTAGGTTGCTGCGCTGAACCTCTCTTTCCCTAAAAGCCTCTCCTAAAACCAAGTGAGTAGCTTTCTTTCCCATGGCTTAAGTATTCTTTCACTTCCTTTCTTCCACCTTCTACCCAACTTTTATTTTCTTTGCATTGCTTCCTACTCAGAGGATATGGAAGGTCTTTCCTTCTCTGCTGAGCAAGGCTGCTGAGCTAATGGTGGCAGGCATGGCCTTCACTCAGGACTT